GTTTATATAGCCATCTCGGAGGCATGTCCCCCACGTATCAGTCAGCCAGACATCAGGCGGCTATCGGACGAGGAAGCGCGATTTCATTCGCGATTACGTGGAAGGCGCGGGAGTCCTCGGAGAAGGGACATGTCTATCCCTGGAGGATCGGATAAGTGCTCCGTAGTGTAGACCGCGAATACCGCGCAAGCTCTGTTGGAGGCAGAGAGATGACATGGCGGTTGTGTGATACCGCATCAGGCTGGTATTCCCATGGTTGGATCCATAGTAGCTCCCTGCGGCTTGGAGAAGGTGGACTGGCACCGTTGAGGAGCGGGGTCTGGGACCGAATCTACGGGTGCAGAGCTGTGCAAGCTTTGAGACGTGTGGTCGGCTGGTAACACGGAGCAGGGTGCCACGTTCGGGCTGGGGGTCCCACCCGACGACGGGGCGCCGGGCTCTTGTGATTGGGTCAAGTGTGGCAGGCTGGGCATCCACGCACAACAGTTCGATATGGCGAACAGGGCGGCAGAATGGAGCGTGCATGGCTGCCGTGGTCGTGTGAATGCGATGCTGTAGGCGGGCTTGGAAGGATCGTCAATGGTGAGTGGATGAGAAGTGCCCGATGAGGGTAGCCCCGCCCATCTTCGGTCAAACGTTCGGGCTAGGAACAGCGTGGGAGGGTGGGCAGAGCCGGTCTGGATTGTGGATTTCCGGATGTGTGAAGAAAGGCTGCTTTGGAGCGAAGAGCTATGAGGGTGGACGCCTCTGGGGCACGGCACCAGACTGAGGAAAGGCGACGGCGGCATTGCTCGTCGTGGTTGGGTGCGTATTGGTGTGAATCTGTCTGTGTATGCATGACAATGTATGTAGGACGACAGAGAAGGAAATCTGCTTGTGATGCGCTTGGCGGCGGCACCCGCGCAAAACAGAGTTTGTACCATCCCGCACCAAAGTCTTCAGGTGATGCGACGCAGCCATCCCGTATTGGCCAGAGTTGGGACTAGCTGTCTACCCAAGTGGGATCCGTCTGCTTACTAGGCAGCCTCGAGTGAAAGACGGAAAACAACAGACAGAAAAAGACGAGAGAATCGACAGACGACAGACTTGTCCAACGCCAGATGACCTCGCCATCCATCATCAAAGCATGGTGAAAAGCCTCAGGAAAGCAAGTCATCGAAGACAACTCAGTGATGGAGTCTCACCAGTGAGACTATAGGCCTTTGCCTAAACCTCAGCTCTACCTCGGCTCCGCCGCTTAGAGGAGATTCAAAAGAACCTTGCCAGGGGAAGACAATCCCAGTAAAATCCCTATCGGACGTTCCGTAAAGAGAGAAGAGCGATAATACCTCTTAGCTAAAAGGCGTGGGTTGTCCAATCATCGAGATTGGCCGACGGCGACGCTGGGCAACTCGTGATGGAGCAGGTTACCCAATCGGCCAATTACTCCGAGCTCGAGGTGAAGAGAGTCAAGAGACCGGTGAGAGGGGAAATGAAGCGAGACAGGCGAGAGGTATGGACAAGGAGAAGGAACAAAAAGGAGAGGCCGTGGCTTCTTACCGTGGGGGTTCTCAAAGGCGCCGTGCCCTGCCTGAAGTTGAGCCGGGACCCGAGAGGTAAACATCAGACGTCAGGAGAGGCGAGGAGTAGAGTCTGACTGATCGATACAGTGTGCGGGTTTTCTCTGTCTTCCCATTCTCTCCATTCAGCCGTCTGAAGTTGGCTGTTGTCGCATATCTTGGTCGATTTGCTTCGGCCCTCAAAGCGGCCAACTTGACGGTGTTGCGGGCACTCGAATGAAGAGATGACAGTGAAAGGGGTCGAGACGAGGAAGATAGGATGAGCGGCCCCTTTTATGCCTTCAACCATCTCTCTATCTCAGGGGCCTCAGAATGGCGGTGGAAGGGAGAAACGGCATTCCTCCGGTGGGAAGGGTAGTGCGAACTGGCTGGGAAAAATTGGCTCATCAAAACACCCGGTCCATCAGCATCCGTTGCGAGTCGTCGACATGCTGTGGCCTGCCGCCTGACCTGTCCATAGTTCGAGGATGCGCTGGCTATCTTGCTCAGTTCCAGCAACATCGCGGGTGATGGTTGGCGGATTGGCGATGGCGGAGACTGATTTTGTGTGAGATGCTGGGCCATCAAGGTTGGCCATCCGGGTTCCTGAGACACTCCCAAAATGGCCTTATCAATGCAGGCCATCAAGGTTCTCAACACCGAGTTGCAGTCGGCAACGTCTCTGACATCTCTGTACTTGACAGAATGGTCTGACCAAATGACGAAATATTGAATGAAGGTCCCTTGAAGCTGGCAGTCTGGCTGAGAGGTCTATTGTCCGTATCTGTATCAAGTTTGGGTTGTGACTGTGTCGACACCGTCTGGCCACAGTTCTGCTTTTTGTGTTGCATTTTGCCGTTTGCACTCCAACAAGAATGGAAATTGGCACAATCCGATTTTTTGATACGCTAAAGTCAACCAGATCAAACTGATTCTTTGCTGCTAATAGCTCGAAATGGAAGACGTGGCATTGCAGATTGCAATCGTTAAGTGTATTCGAAAGAAAAAAAAGCCGATACAGTATACTCTTTTGAGCCAAACTAGACGAGTTGCCGTTGATTGGATTGAGGACCAAAAGCTAATTGTCAACTCAAACACACTTTAGAAACGCGAACGACGACGCGAAATGTTCGAAAGGAAAGACCGTCTTCGAAAGGATCTCTCAAAGCAGAAGAGTTGATACCGACACGTTTTTGTTGAATGATATGGCACCACATCGCAAGCCCACACGTTTGTTCAACTCGTGTCGTAGGCTTGGGCCTCGAAGACTAAGATGGCGTGGTCAAGTCAGATTCGTGAGAAGACAACTGTCTCGAAAGGTTGTTGTCGATATGGCCTTCCCCCCTTGATCCCGTTAAGCTTCAATCGATTACTTGAAACCAGGCAAGGTCAAGGGCATTGCAAGGTGGAACTCTTGATAGTTCTGAGTACGGTGTTCGTCAGGCTCGAAATTGCTCTCTCGAAAGCCAAAGACTCAATTTTGATCGCAAATTGTTCGTCATCCCAAGAATACGGTCAAAGTCCGAGCCTCTTCGATGAGCTGTCGTTGCGCAATTCATCGGCCATCGCGCCAAGGTCCCCATAATTGCGCCATCTGGGGCCGCAGGCAAGCGCCTCTCCGAGATCGTGACCCTTAGATCCGATCCGACCCTGGTCCCACGAGCGACCCCTCCTCCCCATCAAGAAACGCGGTGAGCTCCGCTCCCGCCGGATCGAATCCCGTGAGCGGGCCGTCCCGCTGACCTTTTCTCTCCTCTTCGCAAAGATTCGGCCATGGGTGAGGGCTGCCGTCTTGGCGAATCATGTCTCGGCGGCTCAACATCGCTGTGAATGGTCCTGGGTCGATGGAGTATAGTCGAAGGCGCCTGTGCCGTCCTGGCCATCGGCCATCACCTTTTTTGTCTCTGGAGCTAGAAGAAGGGCACACTGCAAGATCTGCTTTGGGCCTGGTGCTTGAGATTACTGATCCGATGCGGTGACGCGTTCTAGAACTTGACGACCTGGTGTTGAAGTTGCGAAGCTGCCCTGAGCGAGACCGATCCAAATCACAATTGCGGACAACAGACATCGTGGGGAACAACACAGCACCCCCGACGACGACGATGACAACTACAATAGGGGAGACGGATGCGACAGGATCAGCTTATACGCACATTAGAAAAGGATTCCGACACGGTATACTTCGCTCATTTTTCGCTCCGACAGCCTCCTTGGCCCCTCATCAGAACATCCTCTAGGTCTGAGTCCTTGACGACTTGGGGAACCTCACAGCACCATCATACCAGGGAGAGAGTATTCGACAACCGGGTCGGACAATCACGAGGAATGGCTCACCGCCAAGCAAAGACTCCATCGACAACAAGAAGAAGAAGAAGCTGTCGCAGTCAGTATGATGAGGACGAGATGAAGTTGGAAACTCGGGGGCCAGTCCCCAGTGGTCTGAGAAAAAGAAGTCAAGCGAGCATACGATTTAAGCATCGAAAAGAACATCACAGACCGCAACGGCCCTCTTCGTCAGGAACACAGAAAAACATCCCAATGATTCCCCGAATGCCACCTGCCACGACGGGAAAGTACTACTTACTTTTGCCCGTGCAGTCACGTACCTCCCTATCATGACCACAGCTGCATCTGTCAGGTATACTGAAGCAACCTAACCCGAGGAACAAAGCAGCCGCCCCGTACCTGCTCTGCTAGACATGAGTCCACCCCTTCCCGGAGTGAGACCACGCTGCTGTCCCGGTATAGGTCACCATGGTTTGACCTTGCGCTGATGGCCTTTGGGGAACACTGAATACTTGGGATTGATGATTATCGGAGACATAGTGTGCCCGTTCGAGTGGGCCCAAGCCATCAACCTTCGGGTCGGTTGTGTTGTAGGCCATGGGGAGTAATATACGAGAACGAGGATGAAGATGGTATTTTTGATGCCACGAAAGGTTGTGAAAAGCATCCAACGAACCCAAATTGTCTGATAACTTGATAGCTCGACCATGTGGTTGCCGCGAATTCCCTGGACGCATAGACAGCACATTACCAAACCATCACTCGAGTGGACGAGATATCTTTGAAAGAGTTGAAATGAAAATTGAATTGCAAATCTCATTCATTGTTTACGCAATGAGAAACTATGGTCCCAGTTGCCAATGAACTCCGAGCCTATGTATGTATAATGCCGCATAATAGAGATACGTGTCGTAACTAATCCTCCCCGGAAAACACAAATCACAAACAAAACCCTACTTTGACAGACACAACCTGGATATCCACGACGTTCGTATCATGATTTGCGCTAGTGTCCTCGGCCACTCGACCAAGATATGCCATCCCTGTAACCCTTACGCCTGAAATTTCACAACGGTCCGTTCATAGTGCCACCTTCTAGGTCTACTTCGTAGCGCTGGGGCTTCGCGCAAGTTCGACGTCACTCCCGGGAGGAGTGCAGCTTGGAGTACGGGGCTCCTATGCGCCGCCAGCTCTTGCCGCGAGAGGTTGCTTGTTTCGTCTTCCCAACAATGTGGCGCCGTCAAGGCTGAGCTCAAAGGCACCCTTCTGTCTGTTGCGGTCTCTAACCTGTTGGCGAGCTGCAGCCGTGACAGTTGCCGAGTGTTGGCCGTAACCCTTCTCGTTCGCTGCAGGCGCTTGACGCTCACGCTCGCGTCCGCGATGCTCTTGCTGATCCTTGATCTGGGCATTACGCATGCTCTGCTCGAGTGCTTGTGTCGCCTGCGATGGCTTGTGGACGTATTCAGCCTCCTTGTTCTCGGCCATTTCCGCATCTTCATCCTCTGATTCCTCGTTAAGGTTGTTGAGGAAGCGAGCGGGAACACCGCCCTTGGTGCCAACTTGCTTCCGGCGCTTGGCCTCTTCCTCTTGCCTGTGAACAGCGTATCCGACGTCAAACACTTCACGCAAGTTGACCGCACCGGGGGAACGGAAGTCGTAGCGACGATCGCCATCGTTGATTCTGTTGGCATCGAACGCGCGCAGCATATCGGGCTGCGTCTTCTTCTCGTCACGAGGCGTTGGGCCAGAGCCCTTGATCCAAGGGTGGGCGAGGAATTCAGTGATGGTGTATCTCTTCTCAGGATCCACGGTGAGAAGGTGGGAAATGAGGTCTTGGGCAGATTTGGAAATATCATCCCACCAAGGGGACAAGAAAGTGTACTGGCCCTTGGCAACCTTCTCCGTCAACACCTCGATGCTTTCGTCGTAGAAAGGAGGAAAACCGCAAAGCAGCGTGTAGAGGACACAACCCAATGCCCACATGTCGACCGACTTCGAGTAGCGCTCATCCTTGACAATTTCGGGAGCTGTGTATCCGACAGTGCCGCAGGGCGTCATGGTTTGGTTATCCCACACGATCTTGGACAGGCCAAAATCGGCGATCTTGATTTGGCCAATGCCACCCGCACCAACGCCTGGGATGAAGTCGCCCTCATCAACCTTGTCTTCATCGCCAGGCTGCTTAGGCTTGGGGTTCTTGGACGGAATGACCGGGATCGGGCTGAAGAGGATGTTTTCAGGCTTGATATCACTGGGACATTGCACGTTAGTCAACTGAACGACCGAATGACGTCACGGAAAGATGCATAGTCGGCGCTCCCACCACTCACTGCCTCGATCTCATCGGTGTGGGCTGGTGACAAGCAAACTGTGTCGTACTTACCGATGAACTACGCCCCTCTCCTCGTGCAAGTACTCCAAAGCCTGCGCAACCTGCACAATGACGTGCCTCGAAAGTTCCTCGCTGAAGTACGTGAGGCGAACAATCTGGTGGAAAAGCTCGCCACCAGGCGCCAACTCCAAAATGATGTAGTAATATTGCCGGGATTCGGAAAAATCAATCAGCTTGATGATGTTCGGGTGATCAAGCTGTCGCATGATTTGGACCTCTTTCAAGATGTTTGCTCTCTACGCTGAGGTCAGCAAACGTGTCCGTCAAGCAAATGGAAGGCCATCCTCGAAATAACAGTGACTGTAGAACAACATGAAAGTGTCGAAAAGTGAGAATGGCCCGAATAGTAGACAAATGAAATATAGAAAGTTTTCGCACCTCTGCAGCCTTGGGGACCTTCTTGAAGTCCGGATGTAAATGCTTGTTTCCCTAATCACGACCCTCGGTTGGTATGGGAATGCTCCAAAAGGCTCAAATCAAAAACAACAACGCAGCGAACAAAAAGCGAGAAAATCATGGTCGCGGCCGTAACCACCCAAGCAATAACTCACCTGCATACTGTTCATTTCATACTTGCGAACGACCTTGATGGCACACTCGCCGGGGTGCTCGCCAGTAGTATCGCGCGCGCGGTAGACGTTGCTGAAGGCACCGTCGCCCATCTTTTCGACCAATTCCCATCTCTCCAAGCCGGGATATCTCGGGAATTTACTCCTGCTCTCGTTCTCCTCGGCCACAAGCTTGGCCAAGTGTGTGTTGTCGATGTTCTTGCCGGCCTTGGACGTCTTGTACTGGTTCGGCTCGGCGGCGTGGGCGGCTGCGTGGTTTGCCTGAGCGACGCGGTTCTGGCCATCGCCAGCAACTGAGTACGCCTCGGGAATCGCCTGAGCAGGTGGTGCGGCGGCATACGCAGGCTCTGATACGCCTACATGCGCCTTAGGCGGCGGGGACTGCTTGGCTGCCGGCTCATCGTTGTTCGCTCGAGCTTGCTTTCCTACACATATATAGCGTCAGCAAATTGGTAGCCAACGAGAGTGTTCAAGTCGCCAAGGAGAATCGGGGCACGACATGAGCAAACAACTAGAATCGTGAAAGAACCCAGTGCGCCGACGAGGCAAGGGAAGAGAGGGGACATCATACCGTGTCGGATAAAGTTCTTAAGCTGCTGTATCGTCGACATGATGCTAGATTGGGCCGCTACGGAGGACGACGTTATGTGAGGTTATTCGCAAAGTTAGGTTTACGCAGCACACGTCGCAGTAATCGGCGGCTGAATCGGTCGACCTGCCCCGTGTTGAGGGGACGTTCGATGTTTGAGTGTGATTGGTAATGCGGAGACGGCAAAGCACGAGTCGTGGGAATATGCTCGGTGGGCGATGCGGTACTTTGAATCCTGGGCAAAGTTGGAATGAATTGTTGTATCACGAGAAGAGAGAAGTGAGGAAATGTCGGAGTCGACAGAAGCGGGTGCAAGGTTGTTTCTTTGTGAATGGGGGAAGGGGGAATCAGCGGCTGAAAGGGAGAAATTGTTGCGAGGAAGAGGAATTTGTGGACTGCGGCGAGCGTTGGTGATGTTGGCGGAGGGGCAACGTGGACTCGGATGACGGAAGTTGGAGGAGCAGGCAGCTGGAGATCGGGCGGGAAGACGGGCAGCAGCAGCAGCACGTTTGTCTTGGTTAGAAGAGGCCGGGGGACCAAGCGAAAGGGAAGGGCGAAAAAGGGCAGACGGCGCTAGGGGCCGCACCAAAGCAAGGTAGAAAGAGGGAAATAGGTATGGATTTGGAGCCGGGGAGGGGTGTTGGTTGGGTTCAGGTTGACAGGGCCAGGCGAAGAAGAATGGTAGACGATGACGGCGTGTTCTGCCAGTAGTCGCTGTAGGTAGGCAAGGTACCTCCTTCGTAAGGTAGTTTGGTGTGCGAACAGGGTAGAGGTACTTTGCGGCACGTACCGTGCGACAAGTTGGGAGAAGTCAAAGACTTGGAATTTCTGGGGTGGGCGAGGACACTAGAGTGCAGAGGGGGGAGTGTGCGTTGCTCCGTCCTGGTCTTCGGAAGTGGCACGCAGAGACGGGCTGACTACCGTACCGGACAGTAGACTGGCCCGGTTGACTGGATTTGAGCGATGATGATGACAGAGGTTTGGTGGACAAGTGTCAGATGAGGTAGCTGTTCGCCCAGCGAGGTGTGTGAGAGGCCGGGAGTGAGGGCGTGTGAAAGGTCGCGCAAGTTGGACAGTGTGCAAAGACAGGCTGCGGTCGGAGCTATAGATGCGCAAGGTGATGATGATGATGATGATGATGATGTAAAAGGTCGATGGGCCTTACTTTTATTTTGGAACCCTCGGTGAACCAGCCGAGCGTGAATCAGTGTAGCGACGGGAGGTGCAAGAGGAAGAGCGACCCGAGGTTTGTCAGGTGAGAGGCTGAAGGAAAGAAAAGGTAAGAGCATCAGTCATCAACGGCACCCGTGGAGGGGCTTCTTTTTTCCTCTTCTCGTGCTTCCCTCATCATGTGTCTCCCCGTTGCAGTCAGTTTACCTTTGGTCTGGACGATGATTAAATGCACAGAATACACAGATAGACAGATGTGATGGATATATGGTTGGGAAAGCGCAATGAAACAAGTATCTAAGCAAGGTAGTCATATGCTTCCTTCCCAGATATTCTCCCCTCAGCGAGATTGTTTTGTGTGGTGTTTTGCTCGTCAAAGAAAAGAAGAAAAAAAAGCAGCAGGAGCCAAGGCGGGGTGCTTCCTGGTACTTGGCCAGTGTAGATGTACCTTACCTGGAGGTACCTGAGAGGGTAAGGTATACTCCGTACGCGCCTTGAGGTAACCGTGCATGGCTTGGGGAAGGCGCCTCGATACGTCCTGAATTCCTGCCATGCTCGACGAAGGCCTCATACGGGGGAAGGAGCTACTTTGGCTTCTCTCCCTTTCCGGCCAGCATCATGAAAGACACTTTCCTCAACTCGCTCTCCGTTGCTGCCGGCGTCGATTTCGCAGATACCTCATGTACACTGGAGGTACCTGGGGATTTCTAATCATTCCAGAGGTGTTCCATCCATCATCTTCCTTGCTTCCTGCCTCCCGTCGACTGGGAGGAGGAGACATCTTATCTAAGCTTCTCAGCTCAACTCTCATGATGTTTGCAGTCAAACCAATCGACTCGGTTCAAAACGTCCCTCTCACCATCCCAACCCCGGACCCATTCGCCATGTACGGAGCGCCAGATCCAAGATTGCGATTCAGATGGGACAGGGGAATGGCAAGTGCCCAGCAAGGGGCATCAAGAAGCCTCCCTCCGATTCTTTCGTCGATTGTCCGCGGGATTCACTATATACAGGACAGTCTGCACATTTGCTACGCTGAGCCATGTTCTCTATGATGGCGAGGTTCAGGCGAGTGATGACACAGCACTGAAGACAAGAATCGGCACACAGAGACACACAGTTCGACAAACAGACTCCAACTGTGTCTCGACCACGAACGACGCTACGTCGGCGCCAAGGAACCAGAGTTCAGGGGCGCTGGACACGCTAGAGTCGGCCACTTGCGACGTTAAGTTGGGATGATGCATGACATGGCACTGTGTATTTACTGGCAGAATTGACAGTCACTCAGACACATACGGACACAATCACGGCAATCAGCCGGTATCCATCATTCGGGAACTCTCGAAGTTGGCAATACCATCTACAAACATCCGACAGCTCACTGCTGCCCCCATCTCTATCTGGGTCAATCGTACACCATGGCCCCCGGCCGAACAAGGGCTGGGGTCAGACGAGGGCGCGAATCCAAGATGCAAAACTCACATTTTCCCGTCTGCCCTCCCGCCGCCACGTTTCCCAATTCCATGATTTGGGCACCCGGTTGCAGCCAGACACGCACGACACGCCAGGCTTGCCAGTCCCAGGCGCAGAAGAACCAGGTGCCAGGACTCCAGAAGCAGGGCCCGGTTGGCGTGGTCAACCTTGAACCCATGGCTGTGATCCAACCCGTCCCATGGTGTCCATCCAGGATCGGAGCCTGTTCCACTCGCTTGGATGGCGTGGGGCCCCATTATGACGTCTGCCTCATCGTCATACCCGCTTCTGGCAGGGATAGCATCTTTGGAACCAGACGCCCTGATGCATCATTGGGGGGTAAATATGGATTCGGCCATTTTGCCTGAGGCCACCGGCCAGATTAAGGCATGGCCAGTCAGGGCCCATGATTCATTCCTCTCCGGGGGTACTCCCTCCAGCGTTCAGCATGGAGAGTACCTTACTTACTCACTCGCTCAGTCTGACCTGCAACACCAAAAGCTCACTCCCAAATTATCGTCACCATCGTCAACCATCAATGTCTTTTGCAGGGGTCCGCCGCTACTTTTCTCTCTCTTTCTCCTCCACCATTCATGTAGTCGAATTTGCTCGCTGATACACCGCCAGCCTGTCTTAGATTCCAGCCAATTCTCCATTTGAGGCTACTTGGTCTCGTCTCCGCTTCGCATCTTCCCGCATCACTGGGTCACTGTCGCACCGTACCGCTTGCATTGCCCGTTCTGTTTACCGATTGAGCCAATCATATATCACGCTGGATCCACACACCGAGTCACCCCGCGACTAACCATATGCCTCCGAGATGATGATGGGCGACGATGCGCAAGCCACACACGCCACTGCCATTTCACTGACGACGCTTTTCCTTACGCAGTCACTGAGCCTACCTCCTCTAACTAGGTACCTAGGAATTATGGCAACCCATTTCTCATTGATATGCGGGAAATCGGCTAGTCAGATACACCACCCGGCCTCCCGTCCGTCATCCACGCGACGCGGGAGTCTCAGTCGCGAGCTCGGTGTGTACCGCCCCATTTCTATGAGGATAATGAAGATACCTACCGGTACCTGCCTGCCTCATGTGCGAGCAGTGATATCACAACATGGCTCGCTATCAACGAATCGTGATAAGCTGTCTGCTATGTTCAGACTGAGGCTCAACTGCTTCCCTGACGATGTTGGCACTCATTGGTCAACCATAGGCAGGGCAGATGGGAGTATGGCATCATCAACACCTCGTTCAGCTCTCGTACTTGACACTGGAAAGCTCGTGCTTCTCCTCAGCTAGCCTGACAGACTTGTTAGGTTATCTCACTAATTCTAAACTCGACGCTCTAGCCAAAGATATCTTCATTGCGCTTGTGGCATCACAAACCCGCAAACGGCGAGAACAAGAAGGCCTGAAGCCAGAGCGCCGAATGGACTGGTCCAGACCACTTCTCTGCACGAGCCATATTCTGTCGTCATTCATACATTTTACCTCTCCATGTTTGGCGCGGCTTTGGCCGAATTAGATTTCTAGCCCTTTTCTGCAGTACCAGCCACATCTCGTCCCATCCCAGTCGAACTGCTGTGCTTTCTCAGCCAAACATACCTCGGGAGTATGGCAAACAGAGGTCAGTTCACACTGCGATACATCTCGCGACGGGTAAGCCAGCATTGGATTCAATGGGCCCAACAACTTGAAATCGATAGCAACAAGTCTCGGCGAATCCTCGTCGTCGGACGTGGCTTCTCATCAGCTTTGGCTTAGTCAACAGCTACGCGCAAACATCATAGAAGAGTGAGCGTTCTAAGGGATCAACATTGCGGCCACGGGGGTTTCTAATGCAAACCTAATACCGAGTTTTCAAGGCTCGAGAGATGATGATAACAACGACGCGCCTGTTATTCAGCTCGCTTGACGCGACTTACAAAGTCAAACTCAGACAACCCAAATCGGCTACATGGTCCGCCCTGCTCCTTGAGACTGTCGCTGGTGGAACATGCTGCATTCACGATCATCAGAGCGAGATGGGGCTCACCATCCCGGCGCGCCCAACGCCGTCCCGAGATGATCGTCATGACGAATGGACAGGCCTACCCCTTGGCGCAGCCTACTTGTTGCTAACTATGCAGGTTGGACGTTGTAAACGCGCGTTGAAATTACGAAGAGACAATACAGCTGCGTTCATGTGCCTCGCTCCAAACCTCCAAAGTGATGCGAAACACCCCTTTGACGTCATGCCTTTTGCCCCCACGCCTGTGGCAGAACAGCGACCGCAGGACGGACTGCACAATGCTGCAATCGGGCACGTGGCACGTCACATCATCACTCCATCGCCATTGGCCACCGGCGTCTCGAAATAAACGGCCTTGAACCATCTCCTGAGTCGACCGTTTGGATGGCAACACGACAATAGTGTGGACGTTTAATCACAACGTTGACGAGCCAGTCGGGCGCTTGCCTCCTTGAGCCGCGGCAACGTATATCCTGACGTCGCGAGACCATCCTTTGCGGCAGTCTCTCCGAACCCATTTGCGGCGGGTTGCAGAACTCTTCAGCCATAGGACCGTTTGCCCCGGCACCTTTTGGAACAACACTGCAGACAAGTGAGTTTCCACAAATTCCGAGGCTGCAATGTCCACTATGAAGTCATTATAGTCAGGGCGGGCTGGGCCATCTTGTTTCTTACCCCGGAAAATGCACCTTGCTAGGATCTTTAGATCAGCATTGGGGTTTCCTGACCAACGGGTTCCTGATACGGGCCTGGACGTAGCATCCATAATCTGGCTCGATATCTGCAACAAAGATACTCAAGTTTCATCTGCTGCTTCGAGGCCTTGAAGGATCGTAGTCTGAAGATCGACTCGAAGTCAGACACCATGTTATTTGAATGTTCAATTTGATATTACAATGCGCAGGCTCTACCTACTCGCATTCATCCACCGGTTGGGCTCCAACTTACACAGGCTCAGAGATCCACAGTTTAGGCTCTGGTGGTTGGGCTGAAAATCGCGGACTACCTTCAAACAGGACTTGAAGTCAAGGAAGGCACTGCAATATCCTAGACTTTTCATGCGATTGGAAAGCTTCGAGGGCCTACGCTTCAGATCACAGGTGGCGCTGCCCCATGCCGCTGCCTGACAATGCTGATCAGCAGCCAGGGGCGCACAGCTTGAGTGCATAGTCGTCCCAGCTGCCGGAGTACTTCACGGCAGGCGGGTACGGCCCTCTCGTTACATCTTCTTGTCGCTCTGTGGTGAGTGGCTGAAGCACGGCCTGAGTCGTGGACCACCTTGATATCTATGTAATTGCAAGGCATCGCGGAACCTTTGCACACGCAACATGTTGTGCAATGGGGCAAGACGCCCGGGTGGCCGTGGACGAATATAGACTTCAACTTCGCATTATGCGGTTCACAATCACTATCAACCATTGAGCGCGTTTTTTCTTTCATTCGCCTTCTTCATGATATGAACACGTCTTCAAATTTGGTGTCAAAGTAGGGAGGGTTCGATGATGGCATGGTGAAGTCACAGGGGGGAATCATGCCCTTTTCTCTTCCTGCTGTGCCGCCGACGCGCGCCCGCACTTAGCGCCAGACCGGTGGGCGCAGGTATATCTGGATCTCGGAGTGAGTGCCAGCCCTCATCCTGGTGGTATCGGCAGAGTGAATGAGTTCCGAGCGATCAAGAGGGTATCAGGCAAGCCCGCCGCCGGGCGTGAAGCACGAGTGAGGAGGGGTGATGTGCGCAAGTACGGCCATCAATGTCCCTCTGGAGCTGGTCACCGCATTGACCAGCGTGGACTTTGGGTACTGTGTACTGCCCATCCGTGACGCCCTTCCGGGTCACGAGTAAAGTGCAACCGCTGAGGAAAAGAGAAAAGATCTGCCTTTGGCGGAGGGGTGTAGATCGGCTGCTGGAATCGCCATTTTTGGTGGACTGGAGGTTGCGGGGGCGGGGCGGAATTGTGATGTTTGTTCAGGAGGTGTCAAGAGTCATGGGGGGGTTACGGAGATTATTAATTCGAAATGTTGGTGTTTTCCACTTATGAGGACTTTGATTTGGTCTATCGATATGATTGATCGGGTTGATCTCCGTGGTCTTTGAATGACATCAATCTGAGTACATCATATCTGAGAAAGGCGAACGTCAGAAGGCTGGGTCATTTAATTATCCCATCGAAGGGTTTTGCGGTATGAAATTAATGTATTTCCCTATATTGAACATACCATCTTGCTGTGATCGAATACACATTTCAATATACATCTCCGGTATTCCAAGATTTTGTTTTCTTTCCGAATCTATACACCGTTGGAATGTGTTTTTTGTGTAAGTGACTATTTAGGTGAGGAGTGGAAGTAGATCTGATAAGCAACCGTCAAGGGTCCGGTTAATGTGAACGGATGAAAAAGGTAACTGGTATGCCCAACTCTAGTTACTCTACATCTGAAGGTATCCGAACTATGTGCCTCGAGGGCGAACACGAACCTGGTACGCACCTACAAGTCTGAGAGTCTTTGACTTGCAGCTTAGTTGTACCAAGGTCGTGCTATGTGGTAATGCAAGAAGCCAGTAGGCGGTTACGAGTATCAGATGACTTCAAGTGAGCAAGGAAACTAGGAAATTTTGGGAAGTAAATAATGTTGTTCGACAAGTTGAAAGATGGGAGTATGGATAGTCGTTCAAAGCTGCATGACTGCTAGACGTTCATGCCAGGGACTCTGGAATGCACTTCGGAAGACTACCCATTGGGAGATGGGAATCATATACGGATTGAATAGTGGTCGATGATTTGAATCTCGAAGGGCACTGGAACTGACTCAGTGATTCAGGTCAATCATTTTTGAAGTTTGGTTGGTAAACCCTACCGTATCTGGATAGAAACCTATACGATTTATCGGATCCTGTCGTAATTTACTATTCGACGAACTGTAGAGGCCGGTGTCAAGCTCCAGGTCTCGAAGAACTATTGAAACTACAAGATCCATTGTCTTCAGTCCATGCTGGAGGTTCCAAAGTTCAAGAATGCCTCATAATTCTCCGTAGTAAGTGAATTACTTGCAAATGTACCGGCAATACTATGAAGTTATCCACACATGTTGGATGATGATACAACCTTTCGAGTCTCACTCTATCCAAATGAGCGGACTGCTATATCTCATGATTCTTGCCAGCCTTCCTTAGTTGGGCTTCAAGAGAAGTACGGCCGATGACAGGTCCCTAACTGACGAATGTGCTTCGGCGTGCGGCGGCCATGTAACGAGCCGCATACTTTCTTACCCGTGACCAAATTGAAATCATCCATGGGACTATTAGCTCTGATTGACTTCTATGTTACTACAAACAACTCAATCCGGTTTGT